GGCCAATGAACATTAAAAGCCTCCCCCACCAAAAACAAAAAACTCCACCTCTTAAGTAATCAAAACAACTTGAATTAAAAGGACGCACCTAACGTTACCTGCAAACCTGGCCCAGACTTCCTAACATGCAGTGTTGGGGATGAGCCCTTCACATGTGCCACACAGAAGCATATGGTGATTTAAAACAAGCAAACACACAAACAAAAGACCTTCTGGGAAGGAATTTCTCTGCACTTACAATATATATCTTGTTTGATTTTAACTTTTTATTTTGTTTTTTGTTTTTTTAAAAGATTTCTTTAAAGAGAGAGTAACAGAGAGTGGGAACAGATGGAGGGGGAGAGAGAATCTCAAGCAGGCTCTGTGCTGAGTGTAGAGCCCAACGTGGGGCTCGACCTCACAACCCTGAGATCATGACCTGAGCTGAAATCAAGAATCGGATGCTTAACCAACTGAGCCACCCAGGCGCCCCTTAACTTTTTATTTTAAAAACTACATATCTTTTAACACATGATTTTAGTAATTTATTGAAAGAAATAGCTAAGGACATATTCAAATATTTAGCTACAAGAATTTCAGCTCATCCTTACATAATGATTTACATGGGCAAAAAAGTGGAAATCCCTAAAACGTCAAATAAAGAGAGACTGATCAAACAAATCAAGGTATACCTATATACAATCATGTTATAGCGAATACTGATGTGGGAAAGTGTTCATGATCCATTACTTAAAGGAGAAGGGTATATAGTAGCTATATGTATTACACATATAAATCATTTCTATGAGAAATTAACATATATGTGGAGATTGTATGTGTATAAAAAAAAAGCCTACAATAATAGAAGTCAAAATGTTAACAAGTGAATCTATTTGGGTGGTGGGGTATAAGCACTACAAAGTCAGAGGTTTCCGTTTGTCCTCTGCTGTAATTCTGAAACACAGAGCAGTGCCTGGCACAAGGAAAACATAAAATAAAGAATGTTATTGTTATTTTTGCTTATTTATATTTTCTCACTGATCTGCAATGGAAATCTTATTTGCATAACACTTTGTTTCAAATGTTGCTTTTAAAAAGAATATTCAGAGGCGCCTGGGTGTCTTAGTCAGTTACGCAACTGCCTTAGGCTCAGATAATGAATTCAGGGTCCTGGGATGGAGCCCCGTGTCAGGCTCCCTGCTCAGCGGGCAGTCTGCCTCTCCCTCTGTGCGTGCTCTCTCTCTCTCACAAATAAATAAAATCTCTAAAAAAAAAAAAAAAAAAAGAATAATTCAAAGGCAAAACAGAATCTTTTACAAACAGAAATGGGAGTAATTCCACCTACTTCACAGGGTAGTAAGGTTTAAATAATAATTTATGTAAATATGCTTTGTAAACTCTAAAACACTGCATGAATGTCAGCAATTAGTTATCTTGTTAGGCCCCTACATTCCAAGTGAAACCAGTCTCATATATGCTTTGGCTGGCGGCCCTCACCTCATCCATGTCACTTCTCCTACGCTGTCCTCTGAAAACACTTAGAAGTGTGCACGGAGGCTTCAGAAGCCCAAGGCTGCAACAGAGCACGGATTGCGAAAGTGGGGGGCACCTCCATCAGGAGGAAGCGCAGGTCACCGATAAAATGGATCCTGCAGAAATGTATTTATTGACATCCACTCCTAACCTCTATTAAAAAAAATCATCTCTATGTAACATATGTAAAACAATCCCAAACACAGTTTATTATAACAATATCTACTATGTCAAATACTCAATTATGCTGATAATTTTCTGACAAGTTATCCTTTTCAATTTTTTAAATTCATTCCACTTGAATTTACTCAGCTTTTCACTCTGAGTCACTTGTTTCTCAAGATTCGATCAGTCAAAGCCATCTATCACATTTCATCTTTCAGTTGCTAAATTTTATGGATGGCTTTCATCCTTTGAAGGCACACCTGCTTTCAGGCCTCACTATGGTTTCAAACGAAGCATGCATATATTTTACAAAACATGGATGTAATTCCTTCTTACATTTTAATGTTAGTGGTTTCTTACATATATATATTTACGCACTAGTCATTACTTCATAAATCAGAAGCTGAAGCACATTTTCTCTCCCGAAAACAAATGTAGGAACTGTTTTCCAAAGCTTTATTTTTCCTACTTTCACAGAGAGATCACAGAAGTAGGGTACAAAGAAGAAGCACTCTAAATTAATAACAGCTAAAAGAAGTATTTAAAAATTATGAAATGTTGGGCGCCTGGGTGGCTCAGTTGGTTAAGTGACTGCCTTCGGCTCAGGTCATGATCCCGGAGTCCTGGGATCGAGTCCCACATCGGGCTCACGCCTCAGCGGGGACCCTGCTTCTCCCTCTGACCCTCTCCCCTCTCATGCTGTTTCTCTCTCACTCGCTCTCTAATAAATAAATAAAATCTTTAAAAAAAATATGAAATGTTATTTGAATCCTTTCATAAATGCAGACAGAAATTTTTTTTCTCCCACAGAACTCTGTTAGAAGCTGAAAACTTTTATCCATACCAACCACATATATGCATTCTTTAAGTTGGATACCAGCTCCCTAAGAAAACAGCAAGCTCTGGCTTTTCACCAGCAACTATTTCTTCATCTACCTGCTATTCAAAACTCACTTAAAGGTTTGTTGCCCGGTGCTCTTCGCTCTGCTTACACTAATTAAAGGCCCTAGTGAAAATGTTCTCGCCTTCCTTTATTTTATGTGACTGCTTACTAATACTAGAACTAAAATCCTTCCAACAAAATTGAGAAAATATTGTAATTCGGGAAGCTTACCATTACCATAATGACAGTGGAACTCAACAATGACGGTGATCATTGAGATGTTTAAGTACTGTGATGTTTCCAAAGGAAACTGGAGCCCAGGATGAGTGGAAGGAGGCGATATGAGGAATATGAGAAAATGAAGAAATTAAGGGCCCATGTCACCCACAGCACCGAAGAAGCCTGCGGGGGATGAGCGACCATGGAGGAGGGCGTGGAGTGTTCCAAAGGAAGAACCGGAGAGCTGAGTGAGTGAGTGCAGAACAGGGCTAGGAAGCCAACCTAAGAAGGGAATGCTAACAGGAAGAGGCAGACAACGCGATTTGTCGATTCCAGAAAGAATCCCATCATGTTGTAGTCTGAGTCTTCTCAGTAGTCTGGGCCGTACAGACCCTAAATCACCCCTGTAGCAAATATACTTCCTACAGATGATAAAACAAAGCAGCCAAACGCATTTAGACTTTTAAAATTTCTAACACCTTAGCTTATGTTCGGTTTCTGGAAATTTCTGCCGAAATGTAAATCATTCTATTTTTTTCTCTCTAGATATTGTCTTGCTAGTGACAGACCTTTTTTTCCACGATAAGATCTTGAACTACCTTTTTTTAGGGCAGGGGATGGGAGAGGGACAGCAGCTCAAACTCAAGGAAACTCTATTTTTTTTATAATGTTTGGGGACTTCTAAACCATTTGGTGCTTATTAGTTAGTTGTTACTGTTTTTCTAAATGTCTACACTTTCATTTTAAATTTTTATTTAAATCTATATAATTTAAGCAGGAGACAGCAGCTAGTGTCTCAAGGGTAAGTACAGCTCTTCACCTGAAAACTAGAATGTGTTCCTCGCTTAATCTCATGACCTAGATTTATAACTAAATAAAAGTAGTAATTTTAAAAATATTTTGAGAAATAGACGCAAAATAGCAACACAAATCCATTTTGCTTATATTGCTTTCTATTCAAAATTTCATTAAAAACATGTTCATTGTGAAACCAGGATTCTTCTCTTAGCCAAGCAACAAGGGAGGAGAGCAGAAGGAAGAACAGCCTGGAAGAGCTGCCCGGTGGTTTACAAGATGGGACGGTACGTATGGAGTGTGGCAGGATTAGTCGGACCTCCCTATAAAAGACTGTTTGGACATTAAAAATAGTAACAAAAATGGTAACAAAAAATAAAACTTATTTGAAATGGATTGATCCCTCCCCAAACAGCTGATTACACATTGTGAAAGCATAATGATTTGAGGCATCATCAAATTAAAATTCCCGTATTTTACAGAATACCAACTTATATATCCACCCGGCCACGCTGTTTTCCTACTCGTAAGTTGAATTCCTGTTTTAAAACTGGGCCAAGTCCTCGTGGGTGTTCTGGTGATGAAAACGACTTTACTTAAGTTTTAGCCAAGACTTTTTCACTCTGGTATCTGATGAAAAAGGATGCATGGGGGCACACACCACAATGACCAGGCAGGGGTGGGGGCAGAACTAAGTTTTAGACAACTATTTTGATGTTTAAAATAAAAGGGGGACAAAACGATGCATTAAAAATAATATGCTAATTAATTTTTTAAAATATTCTGTGATTCCACACACACCAAGTTTACTGAATACTGAATTACTGATTTTTTTAAAAAGCTGGATATGCTTGTTTAGAATACATTATTGGGGCGCCTGAGTGGTGCAGTCAGTTGAGCGTCCGACTCTTGGCTTTGGCTCATGTCGTGATCTCAGGGTCATGAGATTGAGCCCCGCATCGGGCTCCACGCTCAGTGCTTGGGATTCCCTCTCTCCTTCTGCCCGCCCCCCGTGAAATAAATAAATAAATCTTAAAACAAATACATTGTTGTATACGTAAACACACGCAAACAAATCAAACCAAAGAAAGAAGAACACAGAAAATGATAAGCTCAGGGAAATGTGCATGAACCGGAGGAGAGCAGAAAGTCTGACGGCTCTGAAAACGCTTCTAACCCAAGGACTCCTGGTCAGTTGAAGCAGATACACGACTGCTCTCTCACCCAAAAACCATTCACCTCAAGAGATGAGACAGATCAGCTCTGCTACCCAGAGACCTCTTTGGAGACGCAGTGTCCGAAGTTCCTGGAACGTCTCCATCTGTATATGCGGTTTGGTAAGTCATTTTTTTAAAAAAATGTGACAATACCACAGTCTAGGAAAAAGTAGTAATACCACGATTGAACTGAAAAGTGGCCCACTCACCTGATTGATGGAGTTGGCTGCACAGGATGCAAGGCCTGTGCCCAGAGAAGTAAGCAGAAAGCAGGGCCAGTCAAAAGGTCCTGGGGCCAGTGCAAATCCGGCCGAAGTGGTGCTGACGACCAGAGCTGCAAGACAGAAAGAGAGCAGACGTCTCATCACTGAAGCACAGTCCGGACTATAAACTCCAAAAACCCAGCCCTCTTCCATACAAACCAACCCATTTCATCAGTGACACAAACTACGGGCTAATCCTCTCTCATTAAAAAAATTAAAATTTTTTTTTCTGATTATCAAAATTCTAGGTGTTCATTATAGAAAAATGCTAATTTTCCTTTAACGCCATTATACTCAAGAGTAAAAAAAATCAATGTTCCAGATCCAAACATTCTCTTATTCATTCAACAAACACTTACTGAATACCTAATTCGTGATCAGTACTGTGCTGATCAGGCAGTATATGGGATAAAGGTCTGAAAGGGCTCCTTCCTGCTCTCAGGAACTTTACTTGACAGGGAGCTGAGTGTCATACATCAATAATTCTAACACAGAGCAGCATATAATAAGTGTCCCAATTCTGTGACAAGCTTCGGACCACCTGAGCGGAGGCTCACCTGTAAAAGATGATGATTCTGGGATCCAGATAATGGTTAGAGGATGACCAGAGGCAGAGGATAATCGTACAGCCACCAATGGGAACAGAGGGATAGAAGCAAAACCATGTAATTCAAGCATCCGCTAAGGCTGGTCCTTCCTTTAGGCCCTGGTCCTTCTTTGCTGGGGGTTTACGGAAGCCAACAGGTCCAGAAAGTGTCCAGGGGCGGTACTGATATGGGGCTGTAGAAATTCACTGCAAAAAGGATCACCAGTGGTAGGCTGATCGGAGAAGACTTCAAGAAGATGGCATTTACACTGGACCTTCACGAGGGGAGGTAAGAAAAGGAGGAGGATGGTAGGGTGGGTGACATCACAGGTGGTTGGATAGTTCCAAGAACAGGCGCAGGGGCAAGAAAGACCAATGTCAGGAGTCTAAAGTAATCTGACGCCATCTGCCAGGATTTCAAACCAAACATGCAGGAAGCACTACTGAGTCTCTCGTCTCTTGCCCTGCTCGACACCCCATCAACTGCGGAGTACTGTGTTTCAAATCCCCCCTCTAATGCCACCACCAAGCCCACTGACTCACAACCAGGGATGGTTCTGCCCCCTGGGGACACTGGGCAACGTCTGGAGACATATTTGGTTGTCATGCTGGAGGTGCGCAGACACTGGCCAGGGATGCCTCTAAACATCCTCCAGCACGCAGGGCAGCCACCACAACAAAGAATTTTCTGGCCCAAAATGTCAGGAGTGCTGAGGCTGAGAAACACGTCATCTAGTCCAACTATTATCTTGTCTGGACAACGGCAAGAGCCGGTCCCCTAAGTGACCTCCTTGCTTCCACCTTGCCTCTCTCCCAAATGATATTTTATTTTTCTTTCTTTCTTTATTAGATTTATTTATTTGACAGAGAGAGAGCGCACGCACAAGCAGGAGGAGGGGCAGAGGGAAAAGCAGACTCGCCGCTGAGCAGGGAGCCTGATGTGGGGCTTGATCCCAGGACCCCAAGATCATGACCTGAGCTGAAGGCCGACGCTTAACGGACTGAGCCACCCAGCTGTCCACCAAACGATATTTTAAAAATATAAGGCGATCGTACCAGTCTGCTTCGAAAGTCCCTTGACACTACACCTGGACTAAAAGGCAAACTTTCCTCTGCCGTGTGGTGCGTCCTGTGCCTCTCTCTAGCCCACTCACTGTTCTCCATCGGGAGGGCCTTCTGCTCTCTAAGCAGGCCAGGTTTCTTGCCTGTGGGTTCCTGCCCCCTTCCATACCCTTCAGATCTCGTCTCAAATAGGACTTCTTTGTTTTTTTATTTTGAGAGAGAGAAAGAGAGCACGTGAGTGGGGGTGGGGGCGGGAAGAGAAGGGGCAGAGGGAGAAGGAGAATCCCAAGCAGGCTCCAGGCTCAGCACCAAGCCTGACACGGGGCCCGATCTCACGACCCTGAGATCATGACCTGAGCCGAAATCAAGAGTCAGCGCTTGGGCGCCTGGGTGGCTCAGTTGGTTGGGTGACTGCCTTCGGCTCAGGTCATGATCCTGGAGTCCCGGGATCGAGTCCCGCATCAGGCTCCCTGCTCAGCAGTGGGCACTGCGATTTACTACAGGCAGAGGGTTTTTCAGAGAAACAACTGGAGAGGCTCTACTGTTAATCAACTCTAAGGGGAGTAAAAGCGGGACTCAAATAGATGTAAGGGATATTGTGATTGGTCACTTGTTAGGACTTGGTAATTGCGAGAAGGAGAAAGACAAAACAAAATAACAACAAAAGAGGAGAAAAGGTAAAGTGTTGCACCACAGGGTGACTTGGAGAAGCATTATAACAGTAACAGAAAGAAATCCATCCCAGGAGAGGTGATCCAGCTGGCTGGTCTCTACAAAATGTGCTGCTTTTGAAGAACCACAGGATATCCATGTAAAAATGTACAGAAAGTGACGGAAGATGAAACCGGAGCTCAGGAAAGAGCCTGGGGAGGCGGGAGGGAGGCACGGGGCTCTCGAGTCACCTTCCCAGAGACCGTGGCTGAGCCCGAGGGAAGGGGTGAGATAATTAATGGAGTACGGTGGGAAGAAGTGTATAACAAAATGTCAGAACTTCACAGATGGGGGAAAAGGAAACCGTGTCACCGAACATCACAAAACCCAGACAAAGAACATCACAAGAACCAGGAGGATGGGGTGCGGTGGTGGGACCCCAGGAAGCCCGACCAGAGGGACCACCACTGACGGCAACAAGAAATGATCAGGAAACTGACCGCTCTTCCTAATGATCACGAATTGGTTGGCACTCCCTTCGATCTAGTCTTATCAGCAGCACAGAGAAACTCTTTCCTGTTTTACCATATGGACAAGCCCTTAATGTCTAGACTGGACACAGGTTTCTTGGCATTTCTGTGTTTCTTTGACTGGGCTCAATGACAACGTGCAAAGGTGACTTGAGTACATGTGTGTAGACGGTCACCTGAAACCAGAATATGTCCTTTGGCCAGAAAGTCCCTCCTTTAACAACGTCGTCCCCAAACGTGGTGTGCGTCCACATCTCCTGGGAGGACAAGTACAGGAATGGGCACGCAGGTTGGGAGAAAAGGTTACAGAAAGGCAAGCAGCAGATTCGGACCTGAAGGCAAACAGGAGCAAAGAGGCCAGCCCGGGCCAGGAAGCGTGCTCAGCCCCCCACTTCTGTCCTCGGCTCTGGGGGTGCAGGGTGCTCTGGCCCTCGTCCAGTACCACGAGGGGGGGCACAGGACTCTCACCTAAGTCCAGACCAGCGAACAGCCACACGGAGACTTACATCCAGAAGAAAGTGCCACGTGACTCCAGGCTCGCCCACAGCCCCTGCAGGTTCAAGTAAGAGGACATTCTACCCACGCACGACAGGGGAAGAACGGCCCCTCACTTCACGGCCCACCGAGCCATACCTGCACTTATATAATGACTCCTAAGGAAGGCACCTGTTTTAGAGCAAACAGAACTCCTTTTAGAATACTCAAAACAGCTCCCTTCTGTGAGGAGGCTTTTTCGTTCTTTATAGATACACGCCATCAATCACCAAGCCTTGTGGACAGGCCAGCGTCCTGGAATGAGTCATCTTGCTTTTGCACAACTCAAGAGCTCTCCAGAGAGGTCAGGCGACTCCTCACTTATCACCGTGTGCGGTGACAAGCCAGGAGTGGAAAAAAAAAAGGCTGGTAACACCCAGGTTACTTCTCAACTCAACCACCCAGGAAGACAGGTTGATGGTGTGTCACTGGGAGAACTGGAAGGAAAAGAGACAGGAGGGCTTTTCCTCTCAAAATGAACTAAGTAAATTGCTCCCACCCATAGACTTGATCGGTTGAAATAATTTTTTTTTTTTTAAGATTTACTTATTTATTTGAGAGAGAGAGAGAGGGAGAGGGAGAGTGCAGCAGGGAAGGGCAAGGCAGAAGGAGAGAAAGCATCCCAAGCAGACTCCCAGCTGAGCGTGGAGCCCAACACAGAACTCGATCCCATGACCCTGAGATCGACTTGAGCCGAAATCAAGAGTCAGATGCTTCACCAACCGAGCCACCCTGGGCCCCTAAAATAATGCTTGACTCTATGGTGAAGCCTTGAACCTTAAACCAAAAGTAGACTATTTGTAAACAACCATGGGAGTTAAAAGAGCACAGAAAATGCATAATTATTTTCTCAATATAAAATTAGTAAAATCCAGAGTCACCAAAGTAACTTTAGCTATCTCTCAATATTCACATCAACATTTTGTATTGTGTTTTATAAACAAATAAAAAGAAAGAGCAATTTCCACCGTAGTGGAAGAGACAGCACAATAATCACTGAACTGTCAAGATAAAAATGGTGCAAGAAGAAAATTCACTTTGTTTAAACCCAGAAAGGCTGTGTAGCTACATGAAAATAAAACCGTTAGTTCAGAGGAGAAAGTATCTTGTTTTTCTTTTTACTTGCCCCGGAGTTTGACTGAGTGATGATCGATACAAAAAGCACATCAAATTTTGACTAACGGGTCAACTCATAAGAAGAGACAGAAAGTGATATGCAAAAAACTGATAAAGGGAAAGGACTAAGTTTTAGTAAGTCCTAACAATGACTCAGTTTGCAAAATGGAAACACTGCCTAATTTAAAACTGTACAAATCGTAATGTACATTAAAAACTGATCAACACTATTATTATAATTATTATTATTGAGGAGGAAACCTGCATTTTGTAACACATTTAAACACTGAACTCTAACAAAGAATGTATTTATACTTACTTCATCAAGGCAATTAATTTAAAGAAAGAGGAAGGCAGAAAGGATTGATAAACGGTACAAGTAAAATTGACCAAAGCAATACTCTCATACAGCACTGCTAACAACTGTAATTAAACTTTTCATTGATTTCCTGGGATTCATTACGTGGAATCATTCTGCAACACCAGGATCTCATTAAAAGTGAGTGTAATATATTCTTTCATTAATAACACTTGAAATTATATTTTATTTGGTAATCTCATATTCTGTCCCTTCACATGTAAGCATAAAATC